TATTATACATTGTATGTCAGCGAGTAAATCACTGTTTGATTAGTAAAAACTTGTATACATTTTATAAAGTTTGCAAATATCTATTGATTTTGTTACTAATAAAAAATTATTATTTGTAATGATTTTTCATAAATTATAAATATTGAATATACAGTATATGAATCCAATTTGCATACAATATAAATACTACAGTAATATGAATTAATTTTACAACAGGTAAGAGTTGGCTAATTATTATTATATAACATTTATTTACTGTATATTATATTAAAAATTGTACTATAAATATAAAAATTATTATTTATAAAATGTATTCAATATATTTTCATAAAATGATTTATTTAGTCTAAACACATTTTAAATAAAAAATAACTAATCTATAATAATTATATAATAACAATTATTGTATTATTACTATGATATATTGTCATATTTATCTTTATATTTATAAAAATATATCAATAGTTATTGTAGATATACTGTATTATAATATAAATATCAAATGAAATCTTAAGAAAACTTAGTGATAATTAAAATATAAAATTTATATATATAATAAAAGTGTATTTTTTGTTGTTTTAAATTTCAATTTATAAATGTTATACAGATTTTCTGTAACAATATTACTTAATTGATAGTTAAAGTATATCTTTTAATTGTTGTATATTATTAATAAATTATAAATAATGCTATACTAGAAAATGCGATAAACTTATTGATCTTAAGACGTATAAAATATCAGTTATTATATAATGACATAAATTATGAAAAATATATTTTGAATGAATAAATAAATTTAGAATTCTTTTATATTTTGACAAATAACTTAAATATTTCTATATATTATATAAAATAATTAATGAACAATAAATAATTACTAATAATCTTCCGGTAAAAACTAAAGGGAGGGCCCATTTGGGGTTTCGCAACATTTAGTCGTTTAAGAGAGATATCCTTGAAGTCATATATTTGAAAAGGAAGTCAACTTGAATTGTAATCATATAAGCAATTAATAATTACCTTTTGCTTAAATGTTTGGTACCGACACCACATCATACCAGACCAAACTGTATCATAACATATACAGTATAATATACCTGTACTACGTTTTACTAATATATATATATATATATCAAGTAACACATTTTACATATAAATATATTGTATTTAATATAAATAAACTGCATTGTAATATTTAATTACTCTAGTAATGCTTATGCTACTAAGCAATTTTTAAAAATTTTAAATATGCTAATAAAATAGTTAAAACTAAAAATATTTTTCTTAAAATAATATGTTTACTAATTTACCAAAAATATGATGACAAAAAATTAAAACAAATTAATATTAAATAAAAATACTTGAATTTAAACTTATAATATAAATGACAATCACGTGTATTCTAAAACATATGAGTTATAAAAAATTAGCAATAAATAGATGACATTTATTTTCTTAATAATTACAAATCATTGATTAGTTGATCAAACCATTCATTGAAACAATATTTTTAGTGATTCATTTGAATTATTCAAATATTTTTAATTTTGTATAAAATTCATATTTTGAAACTATATGATAAATCACTATTTTACATAATTTTTATTTAGTACTCTAAATTTAAAAACGATATTTTATCAACGATGTCATCAATATGTATAATCATAACTTGTCTATATCTGATCATAAGATTAGATGTAAAATGTAAAATATATTATTTTTACAATTATTTTTTAACAACTTTCAAAACAAATAGAGCAAACATTTAATTATAAATATAAAGTTATATAAGAATATATTATAAATATACATATTGTATGACCAATAAATACTATACATATCCTCTATTTTTGTTTTACTTTTATTGCTAAATGTTTTAACTTAAAGCTTTTGAAATTTTTCAACAATAATTCCAAGTTTTTAGTTTGTCTTTTATATGTTTTAACAATACTTTGATGCTTTCAAAAACATTGATATTTTTTTATTTTGTTTTTATTTAGTTTTTATTGAATACAATTGCATTCAATATATTCAGTAGTCTTACTGTCAAATCCATGAGTTTATTGAATCAGTTGTTTTGAAGTTATTTGTGTACTTCTTGTAAAAAATTAATAAATATTAATAAATATTAATTTTGTTAGTTTTGATGAAATCGATTTAATTTCGGCTTTGCTTTTATTCAATGCATTCAAAAAAGAATTTTTTAAATATCAAAATGTTTTCCCAAAGCATTAAATTATAATTGAAAATATCAAAAGCATTGTAAAAACTATAAAACTAAAATAAAACACTGCATTTTGATATTAAAATTTTGCTATCTCATAAATTATAAAATACAAAATTTTACAATTTTGTAATTCAAAATTCAAAATTTTACAATTTACTACTAATCAGAACAATCAATATTATTTTTAAAAATTAATATACGTGTTGTCATATTAAATAAAATTGTTTTAAGATATTTCTTTAGTTTTTATACATTATATATACAGTATATAAATATTAAATAATATGTATAAATGTCTAGTTATATATAATAGTATCATACTTACTTGAAACATTGTCATAAATACATTAATTGTATAAAACAGTATATAATTTTCACTATAACTTTCATAACCTATGTTTGTGTTATGGTTTAAAACTATTTGACTAAATGGTATTACAATATGCATAATAAAAGCAAAATTTGGATATAAAGTATTTATATTATAAATATAATTGTCATTAAAAATATGCAAAACTGTTTAACTAAAATATGGTATTAGACGCTATAAACAATATAATGTATGCCATTTAAAATGTACATTAAAATAAAGTTATCAAAACATACAACATAGTTACCGTAATGTACTGTATTATGCAAAAACATTAGATTTTATAATATAAATAATAAAATAAATGACAAAAATAGAAATAAATTTCAAAATTTTTATTTAAAAGCAGTAAAACAAGTCTACAGATGTCTACCGGTATTTGTGTGCATATTATCATTGAATATATAATTAAAAATATTATAATAGTAACTTAAACCAAAAGAAACGTTTTACAATTAATAATCATTATATTCAAACACATTTAGTTTAAATTTATATAATTTATATAATATAAACCAAATTGATTACAAATATATTTCAAGTTATAGGCATTAACTTGATTAATTTTATTATTAAATAATTATAAATGTTGTTCAATTTATTGTTTTTGATAAAATTCATTATAAATTATAATTTGGCACTTGTTTTATTACAAGTTATTATTGGTAATAACTTTTCAGTTTAAATTACATTATATTGTAGTTTTGAAAGGTTATGGTATTTGAAGCTGCAATTAAAGCAATCACATAATAATAAGGCACTACAGTAGTCATACAATGTGTATATAAATATGATATAAATTTAGTGTATTATAACTACTAATATTTCATTTTACTTGTCGTTGTTTTCGTTTCAAATATTTCTTATCAATATTTTTCTTGATATATAACAATACATTTAATAATACCAGTAGTGACTGTAGTTAAATGTCATTTTTTTGTTTAAAATATTACAAATTTATATTTTAAAATTAATGTTAACTACAGTTATGTTTTGAGCTGCCGTTTCAAACAAAGAAACATATAGTAAATGATATATCAATAGATAATTTAAAAGTAAAGATGTATAACATTTATCGATTGTATCATTATATTTGATTTGTCATTCAAATAACAATTTTGCGATTTTAAATTGGATTCAATTATAATAATGTAATATTACTTGATATACACCAATAACTATAACAAAATTTAATAAAAATTAAATTATATATATATATATATATTATAATAATGTATATATAATAAGCCCATAAACTTATTAAAATAAAATTTGGCTGATAATTTCTATTACATGATTAGCTTATAAAACACCACTTTTATATTACTTAAAATAAAACTTAAGGTTTAGTATATCAATAAAAAATAATATGTTTAATAATATAGGTTTGACAGCACTTTGATTGTGTAAATGTTGTATATATGTGATGTATAATAAAACAAAATACATATAATATACAAAATATATTGAAAATATAAATATTAGCACAAATACTATAATAGGGATCGGATTGTTTAAGTGATAAATAAACTAATTTAATGTTTAGCTCTCATTTTAATACATTAACAAATAGCTGCATCACAATGGCTGCCATTCAAATGCTAAACAAATTAAATGTAGTTATTATTATAATAAGACATTAAATTGTGTAATGAAATCAAAATGAAAACTATGAAAAATAATTATAATAATTAAAGAGGTCTTTAATAATGTGGTGTTGGGGTTGTGTTGTGACCGCAAAATCGCAACTCATTATTGCTTACAATGAAATAATAATGGGATTCACGATAACAGACTTGAATTCATTATAATATTTAACACTTAAATAATAGTCAAAACAGCTTTTGTTTTCAATTTTGAGATTTATAGAGAAAACACAATAAACTCTTTTGACATTTTTTTTACATGTTATATGAATAAACTATTAGTTATACTCTTATAGCAAACTTTTTTAAGGCAGTAAAGAGTTAATGATAAATAAAATTATAAACATAATTGAATAATGAGCTTAAAATATATCTAAAACATGATTTCAATTAAATATTTGTTTCGCAAAAATACTATCAATAGAAAGATAACAGTAAAACATTTGGGGTTTTAAAAAATAAAGGTATTGTCAACAGATATTAATAATAAGTGAGAAATACAAATAACACTAAACAATAATAAGTCAATAATATAACAATAAAATAGTGCAGTAACTGAAACAAGTTTAATATTATTATCACAATTAGTTGTAATAATAATATTAATGTCTTTAAGTAAAGTAGTGTTCACTCAAATTGTATACTATTTACTTTATCAACAATATTATCATTATTATGCCCTATAATTATGGACTCAAATGTCAATCAATTAATTGATAATTATAATATATACCAAAATATTATTTGCATAATTTAACCGTTTAATTACTGTTTGTATAATTAATTTAAAATTCATTATAATATATATTTAAAAACGTTTAGTATTTGTTGTTTTGTAAAGAAATACTTAAATTGTTTTGTCGTTTAAATAATCGCATTGTAAGTGCAATCAAAGCCAAGTCATTATATTATTATCATTGGAGTCGAGCTGTTCCTCAACTATTGAAAGTCGATTTGTGTCGAGTTGTTCCTCGACAATGGATAAGATATCTGTACCGAAATCATCAGTCAATGTGGGTATCAAGTCGTCAGACTCCATGTTTTCTGAGACCAAATCCAGATTACCGACATTTAGACCTTCTAAGCCTAAATCGTTAGATCGGTTAATATTATTGTTGGCATCTTCTGTGTTGTTGAGAGCGTCCTCAATGTTAAGGAAATCTTCGGGAGTGTGTGGAAGACTATAGTTAGAGCCCAATCCTAGGCCGGAGTCACCACTTTCTTGTCTTGAGTGGCAATCATTATTGAAGGCACTGTTATTTCCGCCTAAGAATGGGTCAATGCCTGTGCTAGAAATGGGTGGCAAACGACCAGATAATATCTCGCTTTGTCTTTGCCTTAGTTTCTGTCGCTCTAACTCTAAACTCATGAGTCGTTGTTGTTGTTGAAGTCGTATGTTATCAGTATTAGTAGAACCAGATGTGTTCATATTCTGGAGTGCAGTCACAAGACTCGGCGGAACAGCATTTCTAGTGAAAGGAGGCGGAGGTGTTCTTCCATTGTTGAGTTGAGCTCTGTTTTGTTGAGCAGAGGGTGGAAGGCGTGGGTCTATCCAAGTAGTCTTGCTTTCGACGTGATTAATAAAATAAATATCTCCAGAGGGTGTCTGTGCCGGTTCCCAACCGGTGGGAAAGGGACCTAAACCTTGATTAAGATTACCAGTTGAGTTGTTATTTGCATTGTTGCTGGTATTGGTATTATTTTGAGGAATGACCACAACTCGTGGTTGTGTTTGTTGTTGAAGCTGTTGTTGAATCACTTTCCTTCGCGGATCTTCCCATTGAGTGGTTTTCGTGATATGATTTATGAAATACCGCTCTCCGCTCTCAGTCTTTCCCATTTCCCATCCCTGTGGAAGTGGTATACTGTCGACATCAAAGCTATATTGCCTGATATGTGAAGATTGTTGTGCCGAAGCCATTGCCTGTGAAACAGCTAATGTTTGCTGAAGACTTGCGGGTGAAGAATGAGCTCTCGGATGACTAATAGTGAGACCCGAGGGGACGGCACTCATGTGATGCTGAATTGTTTGCTGCTGTTGTGGTGACGCAGGACTTAGTGGTGAATTAGACGGCTGTGAGAGTGGCGGCGGAGAGAAGGATGCGTCCAGACTTGACTCACGTGAATGAGAGGCACTGTTGGGACCGTCGGGTTGTTTGAAGAAGGAAGCGGGAAGTTTGCGCTGACGCATAGGCACTGATAGTGGGATCAGACTGTCCTGAGGGTTCTGAACCGCTTTAAACAACTCATCCAAATCATTAGCACCGCTATTCATGCGGACTATTTGATTGCTCACAGATTGGTGACCATTACTAGTGGCCTCCGATATGGCATCGCGTGGTGACTGACAAGACATCTTCACTCTATTCATCAATAATACGACCAATTGGTTGACCGATAACTTGGGATTCACTGGTAATGTGTTTGAGTAATCATTTCACTAATCAATTGGTTCTTCAATTGGTCTTCAAGTGATCGCACTATTGATTCAGTGATTGAATGTATTGTCAAATGACTCCTATTTTCAGCTAATGTTTCCAAAGTAATGGAGTCGACGACGAGTCAACACTTATACGCATGCGTTCTATATATACAACAAAGACACCAATCATTCACAATATTAGTTATCATTCAATACATTCAATACATTGCTATACAATATACTGTAGAATACATTAATATTAATATAATATAACATTCAATACAAACATTACATTAGACATACAGTAGTGTCACTACAACTACAGTATATAATGTGGTCAACGGTATGACCGTTTGGACACAAGTCATGTGTCAATACAATGTTCATTAGGTGTGTCCCACACAACACAACACAACACTTTCACTTGTAATTAACTCAACACTATGTTTGTCCCAAAACTCTAACTATTGGCTCATTAGTTTCCACCCAATGCATAGTCTATATAGGATGACCAACTTATTTAAAAATCTTTAAAAAATTAGATATTAAATATACCGCAGATTGTGATGACTGTCGAAAAGTTTACCGGATTTGAGATAATAAATAAACAAAATTTTATAAGTAATTAATTGACATTTATTTGTAGTTGCTTTATATAGTTTAACTAATTTTACATAACATTCATATTAAACCAAATAATAATTTTTTTTATAAACAATGAATTTTTATTTAAAATAAAATAGTTAAATATTAATTTATGTAATATATAATAATTAATAAATTTAAATAACACTATTGCTTTGCATAAAAGAAATAATCTAATTTTATTAGTTTTTATGTATAATTATTTAACAAAAGTTTGAAATTCAAGTCTAATTCTTAAAGTTGGTCAGTCTATGTCTATACAAACATTGCCATACATTGAGACACTTGACTCCCCCTAAACAGGTATTGCGTGAGAGACAACACATTTCACTACACTTACATAACTTATAAGTTATAAAGTTTTTAATTATTTTTCATACAAAGCTTTATCTTAACATTTGATTTATATATTAATCCCACATCTGTTGTGTTGTCAAAAGCCAATCAATATATATACTATATATTTGAAAAAACCCTATTAAATGACTTATTATATGAAACCCTTAATATAAACTAACATTTGGGACCAAAAGTTAATATAAATATATATATATATATATATGTAAGTTATATTTTAAAAATAATATGAATAACACTATAGTATAGACTCTATACTATAGACTGTTTCTATATTTTCAATTAATGTTTAACTTCAAGATTATAATCTTTGATTATTCATTTTTATATAATTCAAATGATTTCATTGTATATATATTTTTTATTAATATTATTAATATAATTGTAAGTACTTTTTGACGTAAATAAATATTTTTACAATTCATTCAATGATGACATTTTCACATATTATAATTTTTAAATGAATATTCAACATTTAATTAATTATTAATTAGAAGTTTATTTAAATTAGTTAAAATTAATTTTAATTATAAATTTGGCAATCATTGTATTTTAACCAAAATTTATGTAATGCTTGACACGTTTCCGATTAATCACAATATTCCGCACAATAAGTAAAATAGGATTTTTTACAATTACAACAACATAAGTATATTAATACAAATAATACAAATAATAGTATTTTCTATTTATGATAGATTTGAAATATTTTAATCAATAATAATATTTTATAATTAATATTTATCTTTTGGAAAATTAGAAATCGAGTGAAAAAATTATGGAAAATATGTTTTTATGAACCGAAACCAGTTATATCACATAAAAATTTTTATATTACATTAAAATTTTTTATAAATAAAATAAACTGAAAATATAATAAATATTAACAATAAAAATGTTAACAAAAATTTACCATTTTTCATTTATATACTGTACTGTAAATGTATATTAACAGAAATGTTTACTAAAAAGTGCTAAAAACTTATAAATTATGTCAAAACAAATGATAATATTTTTATAAAAGCTTAAATAAATTTATATAAATAGTGAAAGTTATGCAATGTATGAGATGTTAACTCCCAATTAGTTATATTTAACACACAATACATCAATTGTTGTGTTTTTGTTTCATTTGTATAACAACTTTATATATATTTTCATTTGTTTATGTAATTTACGTATAAATGCAAACCCTGTTCCCAAAAAATAAAATTAAAATGAAATCATTAATGGTTTTAATTTTAAGAATCAAATTTGAATAAAAACTTTTCTACAAATGATTTAAAAACTGTGTTTCCATACATTCATTAATTCAATTTACTTAACATACAATAATATAAATAATTTTTTTAAAGTAAAAACTATTTGAAAATACAATACTAATGAATGTGTTTTTTGAGTGACAGGAAAATAAAATATCGATTAAAAATTTTAATGTATTTAATATTTTAAACAAAATAAATAATCAAAAATTATAAATTTTTAGATTTATTATAAGATTGTAGTTTTTAGACAACAAAATATATTGACACTATTTTATGTACAGTATATGTAGCTAAGCTTTTTGTTTAGTTTATCAATGATTAAATACTTATTGTGCAGTATTTAACTATAACTATAATACTTATTGTATTTAATATTATGTGATTTATTTTTTATTATTAAGTCATTTATTTTACTCATTTAAAACGTGAAAAAGATTTTACTTATGATTTGAGTTTTTTAAAAGATTGATTTGTTTAAAACTTTATTAAACATTTGGTGTCAAATATTTTGTTGATATTTACAAAGTATTAAGTAATATATGCATATATAAATAAATATATATATATATATATATATGTACCGGTCTAAGTTTAAAACTAATGTCAGTACAAAACATTTACTATTTTATTCAAATTAATTTATATAATTTACATACAATTGAATTAAACTACAAACAAATAAAGCAAACAATTTTTGTGAATCATTTTCATTTCTGTTGCTACACTACCGAACCTTATGATTATAATTTGGTTGGTAATGGAAATTGTTTGAATTGGTCAGACCTTATGATGAATGACCAGTTGATTGCACGCACAGATATATAGATAGATTTTCATGTAATAAATAAATTTCCTATATGGGTATCGAACTCGATACCTATAATCCAAAAGTTAAAATGTTACCAATGAGATACTGAGCAGTTTCATTAATTCAATTTTATTTATTGACGTTATTAACTATTAAATTATTTTCTAAAGTAATGAATATAAAATTTTTAACTGTAAATCTTTAACTATTCTACTATTATTATGTTATTTTATATCAATTGTTATCATTTTCTAGTCTTAACAATCTATGCATTTATATTATTATCTATTCACATTATCTTGTTATCATGATAAGTTTTTTATGTAATTAATTACAGTATGATATACCCAGTAAAAGTATGATATTTATTTAGTAAATGTATTTTTTTGTAATTTATTATTATTTTTATAAATATACTGATTTAGTTATTATTGTTATATATGTATCAATACATTAGCAATTCAAATGGAAATATTTGTATAGACGATAACTACATATATAACATTACAGTAGTAATTTCCTTAAATTATATCCGAGTCCATTACATTAAACATCTCTCTCTCTCTCTCTCTCTCTCTCTCTCTCTCTCTCTCTCTCTCTCTCTTACTTTCTTAAATACAAAGAAATTATTGGATTTTACTGTACTTATCACTCATTGCAAACTCTAGTTTATTTGACACTCATTGTAATAACATTAACACTAAAATATAAAAATGAATAAATAATAACAAATATTATTTATTTTTAATAATTATATTTATGATTAGTTATTTACTATAAAAAAAAAGTTACAAAAAGACTATCAATTTTTTTTTGTCTATTATAATAGATATAAACTGCTCTCACATTATAACACTTTGCTGTATAATATAAAAATTATATTTTACTTAATTTCATAACTTTTTTATTATTCAAACATTTTAAATTTATTAATCTTACATTAGTTGTTGATTATCATAATTATTATATAAACCATTTTTTAATATAATGAATTGACTGTATTTTGAATGAATATTAAAATTAAGACAATTATCATAATAATTTATGTTTAAATTGTATAAAATAAACTTTTATTATACCTTACGTAAATCAATGTATATACTGTTTATATGAAAGTCATGTTTGTAACAAAATCTACTTAAAATTACAATACAATATTTAATAGTATAAGACATGTGATAATTGAGTCCAAACTGATTAATGGCATAATATAATATATAACCGAACTTTAAATTTAATCGCCAATATCTTAAACAAATTTTTACAAACATAAATCTGAAATCAAATCATAAAGTTTAAAATTATTATAATTTATAGCTTATAGCTTATAAAAAACAATCAATTAGGACAGTTAGTAATGAATTCAATAAGAATAGTAATGTTGGACAGGTATCTATCGGTGTGAATTGGTTGACCACTTCATGTAATTATTTGTTATATTAAAGGTTATCTCATAGTATGTGATAATTTAGATTTGTGTGTATTTTTTGTCTTATAAGTTATAAGGTTCATATAGAAATTACTGATACAAACTTTGTAATACAAACTTTGTATCATAGAAATAGTTATAGATAAATAAACTTATATTAGGTTAGATGGGAGCTCTACATTATATTTATATAATACCAGTTTTTCGTTTAATACCTGTACTATACTGACCAGGGTTGGAAAAATACAAGGTTTTCAATTTTGTCTTTGTAAAATACAGCAAAATACAATGTACTAGATGTATTTTACAATTTTATAAAAATTACATAAACAATGATAAAATATTAATTTTTTATTAAAATTATTAATATTACATAATTTCAATATCGTTATTAGAATCGTTATTTTCTAAAACTATTAAAAATTAATATTAATTATTTTATTAATATATTTGAATAATTTCGATACCAGAATTAAATTGAATAGCTAATTTAATTTTTTTTCAAAATTATAAAATAAATAATTATTACAAAACATGTGTTTAATTGTGAATTTTAGTATTTTTGTTACTAGGTGGCGCTAATTTTTTTTGCAAGCCAAAATTGTTATGTAATTTACATTGTATTATACTGTATAATACGCTTTGTATTATACATACACTTTATCTCTGCCAACACTGATACTAACCAAACTATACTATACTATACAGTATATACAGGAATCGAGGATTTGATAGAATATTTTGATTGATATTATAAATATATATATTATATAAATTATATATATATATATAAACACAGTATATATTGAGAATACAAATATTAATAATAATTGAAATATAAATGTCTCGACTATTTTCTAGTAAATAAAAATATTATATTTAAAAAGACTAATTTTTTAAATCAAACATTAAAAAATATTAATATAAAAAATAATACTTATAATATTAAATAAATACAATACAGTATACATTGAAATTGATTATAAAATTGTATAAATATATAAAAGAAATTCAAGTTTGAAATAATAACATTATTAATATTAAAATTATAAATTTATTATTATTATGATATTTATTAAAATTGTTATTAGAGTTAGTTATGGGTTTAAGTTTATGTAAATAACATTATACTATAGATTCTATAGTTTAAGATAATTGTCAAAAACAATATAATTTATTGTCATATAATTATTAATTAATTTAATAGTTTAATAAAATAAATTTACAGTAATTAATATCTTATAATTATTGCGTGTATTTTAAAAAAGTTATTAAAGTAATAATAATTATTATTATATTATCAGACATATAGTAGACGTCATTGAGTTAAACGTTGTGTTTGTTTATTATATGATAAGTGTTTTGAGTGATTGAGTGATTGAGTCATTGAATGAATGAATGTATTGCTTATGAAGTGAGAAACACATCCATCACTTGATTGTTATTATTAGTGATATTGTGTTTGTGTTTACCATTAATTGTCATTTGTTTGGTGCGGCATATCGTGACACACACTGACCATTGAATTGTTGTTAACAAGTAAAGGATAGGACAGTCATGAATAGGTTGTTTGGTCGCGGCAAAGACAAGGCACCGCCTCCTAACCTCACCGATTGTATCGCTAATGTATGACAAATACCATACCTTTTGATAACATAACTGTACTCTTGATTTATAGGTCGACAGTAGGTCTGAATCGGTCGACAAGAAGATACAGAAATTGGACGCCGAACTCGTCAAATACAAGGAACAGATGAAGAAGATGAGAGAAGGACCCGCAAAGGTTACCATTACTCACATTATTAAGACTATTGAAAGTGAATTAATTGTGTATTGATTTTGACCACAGAATGCCATCAAACAGAAGGCATTGAGAGTATTGAAACAAAGGAAGATGTATGAAGGACAGAGAGAGAACCTCCAGAACCAGTCATTCAATATGGAACAGACCAACTATGCAACACAAATGCTTAAAGACACCAAAACTACCGTAAATTTGAAATATTACTTGAAATTTACTTTTAGTATATTACCGATAATTGTATATTAATAGGTGGACGCTATGAAACTGGGAGTTAAAGAAATGAAACGCGAATACAAAAAAGTAAACATCGATCAAATTGAGGTGTGATTGACATTAGCTGATCATTGATAGTCATCGCTATAATTATAATAATTTTGATTTATGTCATTACAGGATATGCAGGACGAGTTAGAGGACATGTTAGAGCAGGCAAATGAGGTTCAGGAGGCACTCGGCAGAAGCTATGGAACTCCTGAAGTCGATGAAGAAGAACTTGAAGCTGAATTGGAAGCACTGGGAGATGAATTAGCTTTAGATACCGATACCTCATATTTGGAAGATGTGTCGGTACCTAAAGTGCCCACACGAGAACCCGGAGCTGAGAGTGTTAACGCTGTAAGTGTTTATAATAATATTTGTTGAACTCTTTTATTGATAAATTAATTTTCAATTATAAATAGGATGGCCAACTGGTTGATGAATTTGGTTTACCGAAAATCGCTGCAACATAATAGATGGACAATATCAGTATAAAGTGTATAATTTATATATAAATAATGTGTTTTATAATTATATAATCGTATAGGTATTATAAATATATATACAAAATATTAAGCTTGTTATCGATAACTCAAAATCATTCACAATTATAAATATTGATTTTGTATTTATCAATGATATCTCTTAACACTTGAAACCTAACGGCTCTATTCATAAGCTTTGTTTCAACATTTTGTAAGAATGTCTGAAAATAATGTGACGTCTTGTGAGGCAAATGAATGGTCCATACGTTTGGCATAACAACAAATTTATAACTAATTTAAATGAAATTAAAGACTATATAAGTATTGCATTTTGATAGCAAATTATTGTTATAAATTACTTGTTAGCAAAAAGTTCAGTCGTATGCATCACTTTATTCATACCATAATTTTTTAGCCGTTCATCAAATTCAGGAAAATTGTCTGTTTTTCTTAAAAATTAATTTTTAAATTTTAATAATAAATAACATTGAAATAAAAATGTTTTTTATATCTATTATTACTCGACTACAATATATGGTTCATATTTATCTTGAAATGCCATTACAGGATAGGTATCGGTTGCATAATACCATTTCCAATAGTTTGTCAACCGGTGCGCATCTGATGACTCAAATTGGCCTAAAATAACAAATGATTTATCGTTTATTTTATTATTATTACCGTATATTAATTTATAAGTAATAAGTTGTATGTAATGAAGTAAACTAACGAAATGGTTGAACGATAGGGGTTTGTCTATGAATTAATTGCATCAATTCTTCTTTATTTTTAGGGATGGGATCGTCTTTCTATATAATAATAATAATGAACTTATGGTCAATAAAATAAAGATAATAAGACAAAGTTAAGCCCATACTTGAGGCGCCTCTAAGTATTCAAATGCCGGTATAATAAATAGAGTTTTCGATTTATATTTATTATTTAAATATATTGATAGAAATCTTTGATTGAATTGAGGACACGGCTGAAAGTCTGCATCTGATATGAACATGAATTTTGTCTTAACGTGTTTTATCGCTATATTTCTTAAAGCATTTATCGGATAATCGTCTCCTTCAAGTCCAACCACAAGATTTACATTACTGTCATCCGTTAGATTCAAATTTCGTAATTTTTTAGTTATATAAATCCTATAATTTATTAATATTTAAAATTATTATAACCATAGGATTTGCAATAAACCATTGAATACCTGTGCCATTCTTGTATGCCTTCATTCAAATTGTTGATTGGTATGTAAATACTTAGAGAGACGGGACCTGTCCATGACTGTAGACTACGCTCTAATACTATTAATCTATCCATAGATGATTGAGTCACTAAAAATCACATCTTTGTATAATTTATATATAGCTATAAATGAATTACCAAATAATAACATTACCAAAAGTAATATTTGATTTTGTTTGAAGTTTATTGCTTTTAATTAAATTGATGTCCATTACTTCATATTTTAACATCATTTTGTTGTTTAAAGGTTTATCTAAATGTTGACACCACCGACCAATTTGAGTGCTTGACTTTATATCATAATTATTATTATCTATTTAGAAAAATTAATTATATCAACAAAATTAATTAATTTAAAAATTGTAATATAATTATACCAAAAATGGGTGATATTGTAATATCAGTGAAAGAGACAGTTCCTGAATATCCATAACATGTAAGCATTGATGTTATCGATTCAATTGGTTTCTTGTTGTGATTATTAAAGCGAACTTTCTTTTGTGTCCATAACTCCAGTTCTGATGGAAATTGTAATCTATTTTGTATATACAGTTTAATACAATTAATATGTTATTAATAATCATAATAAATACCGTAGTTATTCGCAAAATAATATTACCGGTATATCATATGGTGATCTATTTACCGGTAATAATAAATATTACATTTTTACTTCACTGGAAAATAATGTGAGGATGTGGGGAAGGCAACAGGGGATGAGAAACTATGTAATTACCTGTTTATTGCAATAATTATTACATAAACTTAAGGGATGGGACTATTTCATTATTAAATTCTGTAAAGTTGTAATTTAATAATCGTGTTTTTGTATCTAATTAGCAATAATATTGATAAGATGAGTATTTTGAGTGAAAAATATAACTAAATTAATATATTTTTTATGTAATTTGAAATTAATATGAATTTCGATTGTATTATTTGTTTTTTTTTTCTATGGATTAATTTATGAAATAGCTTTAGAAGGGTATGCAAATTATTTAGCTAATAGTATATCTTTAAACAGTTACAGGTTTTAAATTGAAACATTTAAATTTAGATAATAACAAAGCATTTGTAATAGTATAGTACCATTTACAACAATATACAGTACAATAGTATTTCATATATTTGTAAATAAATATACATTATATTTGATATATATACTGTATATAACCTCCTATTTCATTATACAGTAAAATATATCGTGTTTACGACTCTAATGGTTTAAATCCATTAATAGCAACTTATTGACGATATTTTATAAATAACACCCACACACTATCACCTATACCTATAATATTTATAAATATCAAACGGTTTATATTAAAAGTATCAAATTCAGAGTTAATGCAAACTAACTGCAAAAATGCAGAATTTTATTACACGATCTGAAAGATATTCAAAAATCAATTGATAAAAAAAATGAAAAAATAAAAATATTATTATATTATAGAGTACTGACTAATAAATAAAACTACCGGTAAGCTAATTGTCTAAAAGTCAAAAGCAAAAAACATTTTAAAAATTTTATTGAACTCTATTATTCCTGTTATGACATAATAATTATTTAATGTAAATAATTAATCTTTTTTTGTTTATATAAAAATGATTAAAGTAATTGTTTGATCTAAAGCTCTCTTATATTTACGATATAATAAATTTGTATTTTATTTACAAATATATAGGAAATCTTCGACAAAAATGCATTTATAAATAAATTATATAAACTATTACCTTATGATCTCATGAGAAGTGTCAGTAAATTTGATTAACACTAACATCCCATAGAAAGCGTCGTTACTCTGAAATGTCATCAAATATATGACAATTAATAAAATGAATAAATGATTGAATTGTGACACCTGTTGGATGAGCTGATCTGAAATGGCTCTCAAACTAATATGTAAGTCATATAAAGTTATATCATATCTGATTGGTGTGAACTGATAGATGGCTCGACTTCGGTCTGGTTTGCATTGAGTAGACATTACCTAACCATCGAAGAAGACAATCATTTAACAGTATATATATAAGCGATTTAAGACATAATGTGGACATACTTTAGAGCAAAGAGTCCAATAATTGTTGAAACAATTTATGGTTTGATCCCATTTTGAGTGATCATTGAACCAACCCTTGTCTGATATATCATTAGATTTGATGATATTGTTGTCAATCAAATTGATGGTCAATTGGTCATCAGTGGTCATGACTGCTATTTTGCCAATATTTGAGTGATTGTGTTGTAAGTGATGTTTGCTATGATTTTTTAAAATCATTAATAACAGCATTATATCAATATATAGTTATTATTATTATTATTATTATTATTAATCTCATAAATTATATTACAAAATGTCTATATATAATATGTGGCAAATTGTGGTAATTTTATATTGATTTATATTTATAATACTAATAAATTATATTTATAATATATTATAGTAATAAATGGATATTTATATATAATATCATATATTAATTAAATAGTAATATAAATGTCATTTAGTTATCCTTAAAAATAATTTAATCTTTTAATACAATTACGAATAATCAATATGTTTGACAATATTTGACAAACAAATTATAATATATTATACAAAATTTATATTATAATTTGGTATTAAATATATTGTATAAACAATTAATATAATTAGTAATAAAATACAATAATAAATGCAAACAAATACCTGAAATGTGTATCAAAATAGTAAAGTAAATGCATATAAATCATAACAATTGAAATACACGAATGTATAGCAATGGCTAATACTATGATTTGCAATGAATTGCTTTTACCGATGTATCGGTTCACGCGATAAAACAATACATCCATTACTTAGACATTCAATCTATACTATCATATCAATCATCACTACAACTATAATGTCATAAAAGTTTAATTTCAATTGTTTTCTAAAACTATATCATTATTTCATATAAAATATCATATCATATGATATTAATAATCACATAATAATTCATAATTAAAATGTTTACAAACATAAAGATATTGATTGTTAATATTTTAAACAATAACAACATTACAGACCATACTATCTATCTATTATACATACATATATCACACATATTATCTCTAAATCATACATAAATTCAAAATATATATTTTACTTTATGTATAATAATTATGTTTCCCCAATGCTTTCACTTTACTGCATAACAATTTCTAGCTATAGTTGTAATAATTTGCTCGTAAAGTATGTTACAATCATTCATCTATTATTATATTATTAAATATAAACACAAATTACGACAATTGCTTGAATTGAATACAAGAATATTCTTGTGTTGATTAATATCTATTTAAGATTATCTCATAAATTATTAGATATATCTATCAAAATAATCTTTAAAACCAAATATTGTAATATTTATTGTCTTTTTTAAATATTTTGTTATTAAACATAAAACTATACAAATATTTAATACTCATAGCAAAACTTTATATTTCTATATACAATACAATTGACATAATATAATTAAATTTTTAACAAAATATAAATAAATTCGCATTAATCTTATATATATATTATATCTCAAAATAATCGATTTATAAATAACTCCTTCTTTAATTAAAAAAGAAATAAATTATAATCTAAAATATGAAATAATTGGTTTTAATAATGAATTTGTATAAAATGTGTGTAATTATAAACACTTTTAAGCAACAAGTGGTAGTCTAACCAGTGATTTGTTTTGCAATACGAGTGGGCAATTTGACTCCAATTTCATACATTTTATTTGTTATTTGATATTTGTTTTCTATTAATTGTTGTTTATATTGAAAATATTTATAGTTTTAATTCTTCTATTAATATTATGTATTAAAAAACAAGATATAAAATATAATTTTTTATAATATAAGTTGTTTTATGTATTATTTGACAATTTTTAGTCGTTTTACATAATTTTCTTTAGTTGAAAATACTTTGTAATTTCTATAAAACATATCAATGACTATAAGACAGTCCATTATTGCTGATTAAGGAGTGCTGTAAACCACCGAAAAAATGTCGATATCGTACACCAATTCACTAATATTACAACATTTATAATTACAAAGTTTTTATTTAAAATTATTGAATTCATATAAATAAATAAACAATATATTATGCTATTAATTTGTATAATGTTTAATTGTTAGGAAACAGGATGTACTATATAATATTACAATATTTTTATTGCATTAATATATTGCAATTAATATTTAATATTTTTTAATAAAATTATCATTTGTTATTTACCAATCAGTCAATCACTTTGACAATTTATTATATACTGTATTTATTAAAAATATATATTTACTAAATTTAGTTGAGTAAATTAAATTAAAATATAAAACCATAAAACATTATTTTATTATTAATAGTTTGCTTTTATAAAATTATTTAATTAATAATGTTATTTATTTAAATATTTTAGTCATATTTATGAAATATAATGAAAAAGTATGAATATATAAATATGAAATAAAAATAAATGACTTAATTTGTTTAAAAGTATATTTAAGACATTATGTCATATTGTTTTGACATTACTTTATATCAAATAATAATTATAATATTATTGCATATTTAGTACATTTCATTAATGTGGCAAAAATACGGTATTTATATTAATTAAAACTTTAAGTTAATTAAAGTTTCAAATTATGTGAGTTATAATATCGTTAGATAAAATTATAATATCAACTATCAATAATAATTAGATTGTTAGTGCATTTTAAAATTCACATTTAAATTAAAGTAACTTAAATATCAACATTTACAATAAAATTTCTATAATTTTCGCAATATTTATTTGATATGCAATTTAAATGTCATATTTATTACATTTTATGAGACAGTTTATGCTATTTTAAGAAATTTTATAATTAAAGCAAATCTTTGTCATTAAATTTGTTAATTATAAAGAACAGTATATATATATATATTGTAATATTTTAAATAAATTCATTTATTTTGTTGCGAATTGAATTAATAATTAAGAGTATAAACCGTTACAACAATCAAATTGAATCCAAAAGGTGTTAACATTTGAAGCAAACTTTACAGAAGAGAGTATCAAAACCAAAGTCAAAGACACGAAGCAATGTTTGAAAACCAAAACTATTGTTATTTTTGGTTATATTTTACTCATAATACTGTATATAAAATATTATATAAAATCTATAGTTTTATAGATGACATATCATTTTCTAAAGTTATTTCATTCTTAAATATTTTGATTAATTTTTTTATAAATCAAAATCATTTAATTAATAATTTACAAAATTATTATTTGCTTAAAACAAATGTTTTGATTAATTATGATTATTAGTAATAAATAAAAAGTTAAAATTAAATTATATTTTCTATTCTATTCTATTATTATTATCAATACAGTAATATTAAATACTTATAAATTAATATAAAATAATAAAATATAAGACCTATACTTATATTTTATTTTTTAAATATCCTAATATTTGTTTATCCCATTGAAAACACATTACTTCAACACAAATAACTGCCCATAACTTGTAATATCCAATGAAATAGCAATATATATTAATATATCAAATCATTCAATAAAAATAAATTTGTTTTACTTATGCAAATTGCAAATTATTTATATAAAAATTTCCATTTAAAGACATATTTATTGTATTCAAATATTAATATACTATAAATAGTTCAAAAATGTCAATATATAAATACAAATTATATATTTTATTTCATAAAGATAATTTTATTATTAAAGATAACATTAATTAATTAAAAATCCATAATAATTATTAAAAATTAATATTTTATATATTTATTGACTTATTTATAATTTTATTTTTTTCGATGATTTATTGAAATCATAGTATGATTAGTAAAATTTCATTTTTAAATGTAAATATTATTAACGCAAAATTATTAAATAATTAAAACATTTACAGTAATAGTTAATAAAGTGTTGTTAACACAGTTTTTAGTAAAATAGTATTGAGTAGTAATAAAGTAATAACAATTTATGATAATTGTGTGACATATAGTTTAGTATATGTATTGTCACACATGTAGTGGTCGTATTGTAAGCACATGTAGACAATTGCCTAACTTTTGTATTATTTGTTCCGATTGTGTATTCAATTGCGTGCAATATTTTTCATCATATAATGTATATCTAATTTTTTATGGCACTTATCAAGTAATAACTTAATGTAATGAATGACTAATAAGTATAGGAAATAAATGTTAATAACTTAATAATAACAATAATTTTTGAAGATTTGTGCCTTAAATATAAAATGTGTCATATATTTGAAATACATTGTTAACTGATGTATACTACTGTATATATAAATAAATATATATTTATTTATTGATGATACACGAGTTTCATATAGATTGTGTATCTATTGTATAATATTATTAGATGTTATCATTAAAAACAACAAACTTTAAGTATAAACCACTAAATCTAATGTCATTAATAGTATATTATTTGATTGAATGTTTCAATTGGTCAGCGACTCAAATGACGCAAAATTTGATTATATTATTGCATTCATCAGAAAACAATACATTTATAATTGAAATGAAATGTGTAAAGCATTTAAACAGTAAAAACATTTATAATATACTACAGTATTGGTGCCGCACTAGTTGTACACGACATGCTCCCTGTGCCACAACCTACCTAAGCATTGACTCCAATTGGCCAATTGTCGACTATCTCTACTATTAATCATCGGCTTAATAATTAATAAAAAGTTTGTTATCAGTACAATAAAACTTTATATAATTATAAACATAGCATTGAAACAAATGAATAGTTTTGACTCTTTGATTCCTATTTAACACTAATACTAAACAATTGGTTTTACTTTAATATTAAAATCATTGATAAAAAGTTTTTAAATACTATTTACTCAAGTTTTCATCATTTTTCAAGAATATATATAAATTATTGAATAAGAAATGGCAAATCAAATTCACATTCATATCTATTTGTTTTTATTTATCGCTGTTTTGACATTAATGGCAACAATTGTACCGCAAGTGTCCGGTAAACCAAATATGGATGAAGTGGCGAATATGGCCGAAGCTATACGTTATTTGGAACAATTGGACAAATACTACTCACAAGTGGCCCGACCCAGGTATGTATGCTTACATTATTATAACTAATTTACCACATTTTCAAACAAATATAACTGATTCATACAATTTATTGTTAATTTCAATACCTGTAAATCAAATAAATGCTAAAACAGTAATACTGTAAAATAGTTTAAACAATATGTTTTGCTAATTAATTATTGCACATGTTTTTAGGAAATACTATTTGTTTAAATCAAAATTTATTTTTAATTAGAATTTTGTAATTTATTAATTATATTCATTTTTATAGTAAAACTAATTATTAACTTTTGAAAATTTGTTTTTTATTTATTTTTTATTTTCAAATGATATAATATCTCAGATTTGTTTATATAAAAATATATAATAACTACCTGTAATATAAATATTAAAAATAACGTTTGTGTTAATAAACTTGATTTTAGATTAAAAAAGATGAATAAATCAAATTGTATTTATTATTTATTTAACTATTTTTATTTATTTTTATGCATTGAATTTAGTTAAAATATTATTTTAACTAACTTTATATAATATGAGTAAGCATAGTAAATAATAAAATTAATTATTACTATTTATTATATATACCAATTTTTAGCTTTATTTACATTTAATATTATAAAATTATATTAATAATTTTAAAATAAAAATAACATTTTATTGCAATAGATTGTATGAAAATATTAACTCACTATAAATTGCGTAATAATTGAAAGCATTTATAGTAAAAGTATAACTTTTAAAAGCATTTCCTTAAGACATACCTTTTAAGAGCAATAATAAATTATTTCTAAATTGTTTATACTGTTTGTAATAACGACTATATCTTTAATGTAATGTATTTAAGAAATATTAGTTTCAAACAGAATTGTTTAGGAATAAGTTTATTACAATATTTTTCAATAGTTTTTAATTATTAATAGATAACAATGGATTAAATTTAAATTTTATAATTTTAAAATAAAATTAATAAATTAATAAATAATTTACACTTAGCTGTTTTGTTAGCCTAATTTTAAAGATTATTTCCATATAATTATTTTATATTAATACCACTATTGAGCTATAAAGCTTAGTGTATCTCATTTAACATTTAATTAATAAAATATGTAAACTTAATGAAATATATTATAGCAAATAAGCTACAATTAAAAAACAAATTACTTTAAATATGTATAAATTTCAATATAATAATTAATTCCAAAAATAACATAAATAAAAACAATATCATATGATTAATAAATTTTTAGTATCATATGTTATATTTTTAACCCAATTTATATAAATTATAATAATAATAAATATGATAAAAGTTAGATTTTATAGGATAGAAAAAAGTATATAATTATATGTTTAGCTATTTATACCAAAGTTAATAATTTTATAAGAAATTATTATATTATTCGTTAGATTTATTGATCCAATAAATGTTATATTAATTAGATACACAAAATGTATCAACTAATTAACTATACTTACTTTTAACATCAATTATCTGAATTGTGAATAAATATATTTATTATAGTTTCAATTCATTCAGTTATCAATAAGTTTCAATTGTAATGTATTTTTAGTTAATATATTTAACAAAAATAAAATAAGATTTATAATAAATGATATATATTCAGTTATTTATTGTAATGTGCATAAAATTAGTGCATATATGTGATAACAATATAAGTTACATTCAATTATATTATATTAAAAATATTTGCCAGTAAACAATAATTGTGAATATATATGAAACAAAATAGTGGAGTCTAATGAAATAAATAATTGGTATAATGTATTGCAAATATAATATTATAAGTCATATTCGGGATATACAGTATAGAAAATATTTTATAATAAATAAAATTTAGTAGTTTTGATTATTATACTTTAGTACAATAATAATAGTAATATAGTATTAATAAAATATCTTACTATCAATACTACTAGTAATACTAAAACTGGTAATAATAAAAAATATTCAATATTTGAAAAATGAATTTTATTATAAAATACTTTGGACTAATTAGAAAATAATTTGTAAATATTGTAAAATTTTATAATATATAATACATCAATAAAATGTGGTATTTCTATGATATAATAATATTTTGTAATTTTATATATCATAATAAAATTTAATGATTGCGTTAATAGGTTTGGTAAAAGAAGTCTTAGGAATCTTTTAAAGATATCATCGAATGTAAGTATAAATTAATTTTGACTTAAAAGATAAAATCTATTCAATTAATAAATTAGACAATAAATAATAATATTTTATTATTAAATCAGTTTTTATTAAATGTTAGTCTTAAATATTATCTTTTAACACAAAAATAATAGATTCTTTCATTAAATAAATAATTTAAATATTTGAAAAATATTTGATTATAAATTATATTAATTTTTAGATAACATTGTTTATACAAAAATATTTATATTTAAAGCTATATATTTTGTTATTGATAATTAATACAATATAATAATTTTTAAAGGTTAGATATTACTTTATTTGTATTTTAAAATTTAAAACTAATTTATAAAATCTAATATTAAACTATTGTTTGATATTTAGGGAAATGGAGATCATTCATCGCAAGTCGATTAACAATATATTAAATTGGCTTTAAGTGTGTTTTTATCAAATAAAAAGTTTTTTGTATATTTAATGGGAATTTCAAGTGAGATAAAACAATTTATTTATGACGTTTATTAAGAATATCATGAAAAATTATTTTTTATTTATATTCATTTATTTGAATTGCTTTAAAAGTGAATCTTTTTTTTAATTAATTATTTTAGTTTTTATATTTTAGTTTTTTATTTAATCATTTTATCATACATTTTATTTATACAGTATTATATAAATCTATAATTATAATATATTATTACTTTAATGTACACAACAAGTTCTTAACATTATCTATGATATTATAATTATAACAATAATAATAAAAACATAAAAATTGATGTGAATTTTATTTATCATTAAAACACTTTTATCTATACATTAACAGTGTCTCCAATAAAACGATTTTTGTTTCTATTTATATATTGTTAAGTAATTTAATATATAATTTGTATTTTGTACTATTATTAGTCAATGGACTTATAGACACTTTCTCCTATCATATCTTTATAAATAAAAATCTGAGAAAAATATTGCAATTAAAACAAACAGATTAAGTAAATATATATGTATTTTTCGCAATTATCACACATTGTTTTGTTGTCAATTATATTTAATACTTTATGTACTTACAAATAAAATTATTTTTGTTTCTAAAAGTTTTTCAATTATATGATAATATTAGGAAATATCTAAATATAACTGTTTGTTTTGATTTTTGTTTATATATTTTATACTAACATTACAAATATTATAAATATTTATTGTTTATAAACATAAAAATATTTTTTATTTGTTTGTTGCGGGTTATAAACTTTATGTCAATAATTTATTTATTATAATTTTTAAATTTAATTTTGGTAATATTGTATACAATATTTACGTGCATAAAAAATCACTATCAAGTTTACAAAAAAATATTTTCAGAATTTAGAAATTAATTATTAAACTGTTAATAAATGCATATTTTATGTCTTAAATTAATATATAAATAACAAACTAATACTGTATTTACATTAAATTAAGTTTTAATTTCTTAGTTCATATTATTATTTTTTAATAAATAATAATTGTCAAATGATAAATTATATTATAAATTAGTAAATATTATTATTTTAAATAATGAAATTTTTTTAACAACTGCATCATTGCTGTGAATGTGAAATGTGTGAAAATTTTGATAGTATTAAGAATTATCAAAATATTTAAAATTATTAATTACATAAAAAATTGCAAAAATAGTTAGTCATTATTTTAAACATTGCTTTAGTAATTAAAATTTTGTTTAATAATTTAAATCAATGATTAAATATTTAAATTAACAAAAAACAAATAATCATTAATTTTCAATCTGAAGAACTATTGAAATAATAAATAATAGATTTTGTTAAAATAATTTTATAGATTTATAATTATAATTAAATGTATTAAAAATTAAAACTTTAAACAATTCTTCAAATAATACACTTTAAGTACGTATAGTAAGTGACTATACATTTGGTTATACAGTATATTGCATTTAAAGGGATTCAGTTTATTAAATAGTACTGTAAATACAATATAAAAATTCAGATTATTGTAAGTTTTTTGTTACATTCAATGATTGTGTCATTTCATTACTTTTTTACCTCATTTGCGACTAATGTTTAGTACAAAATTAATTATAATATATTAAGAATATATTGTAGTCTATAATATAACTTTTATATGCATTTTCAACAGTAGTTTTATAATACTGTATTGAATCATGAAATCACAAGACAATAGTTTTATACTTTATTTGTGTTTATTTTAGTAAATAAATAAACTTTTATTTCGTCACTTTTGGTTCATTAATGGGTTTTCCGAAATATTTCGATTAAATATACTATAAGTAAAAATAAAAATAAGTAAAAAAGTTTTTATCCGATTATCTTATTTTATGATATCAAGTGATGTACACAACAATACAATACGTGATTTTACTATTGTATTGATACAGTATTTACTATATTATTAAACTCATTCACACTAACAGTAAGTGTATTAATATATAATAATTTCTTTAAAACTTTTAATATAACATTTTCTCAATAAAAATCATTACACAATGTGTTTCAATTGACATTAAATATTGCTTACAAATAATTAAACCCTAATATATTTTAATACATAATATTTATTAGTTATTAATATAAAACCTTAATATTTTTTTTACCCAAAATTAGGGTTAAGTTAGGTTAGGTAAGGTTACTACAGTATTAACATATTTAATGTTTTCATTATATTAAGTTTTTGCCAGTTTATAAAATTTAATAAAATATTAGTATCTATCAGTTTTATATGATTTAAAATAATTTTTAATTTGAGATTATAATTTATTTCTAATTTTACATAAAAATTTATTCATTAAAAAATTGTTCAAAAAATCAACATTTCATATAAAATATTTTATAGTTTATTAAAATAAAGTATACATGAGTTGATTGTTAATAAAAATAAATAAATAATAAATAAATAAAGTTTTATTTTAATTTTAATTATATTCATAATATTGAGATAAATATTAAGTATTGATTGTATTATTTGTCGATTGAGTGCAGCACTGGATTAATGAATTAAATATTAATACAGTATTTAGGGTTCGCATAAATACCTCATTTTATTCGCCATTCGTTGTCTATATTCTCTTCTCTGGTAATTCCCAGGGAATCTATATCTTTGTGTATCTATTTAACTGAACAAAAAAAAGAATAAATTTTATTATGTTTTGAAAAACAAATGTTATATTAAATAAAATCACTAAATTTATTTAATTCAAATTTATTTTTTATATATTTTAATGAAATTTTATGCAAATTATTAAAGTTTTTGTACTATTTCTTATAATAGTATAAAAATATGTTTACCTTTCTAACGATGAAAGGAGAAAAAATAAAATATTTTTGTTGTTGAAAATAGAGGGATTTTATTAGGGAACTTCTCTCAATTGGTAAGTTGTCTGAACTCTAACACTATTAAATATTTTATAATACACGGATTATGATCTACCGAAAACTCGGGCCCTTTTTATGTATATTACATATGTTTTTTGTGTAACTATATCTCTATTAAATAATTATATAATTGCATAAATGATGTCGCATTTTTTAAACAACTCATGACAATATGGTATCTTTTATAATTACCAAATGTAGCACAAAAAAACATAAGTAACATAAATAAAAAAGTACCGAGTTTGTTCTGAAAATGTTTGGTGTACAGTACAGTATAATGTTTCATAAAAAATAATATTAAACGAACATAACGTACAGAATTTATACTATATGTTAATTATTTAATTTACAATATAAATTGTGATTTTGTGTACTAGATCAATTTTGCTATTTTTCATCCTTATTTCATAAATTATTTGTAATTTTTATAAAAAAAATTTCATAAAATTTTTTTGTTTAACAATTAGATCAGATATCCCCTCATTTTATGTTCCTTATGTTCCTTATGTTCCTTATGTTCCTTATGTTCCTTATGTTCCTTATGTTCCTTATGTTCCTTATGTTCCTTATGTTCCTTATGTTCCTTATGTTCCTTATGTTCCTTATGTTCCTTATGTTCCTTATGTTCCTTATGTTCCTTATGTTCCTTATGTTCCTTATGTTCCTTATGTTCCTTATGTTCCTTATGTTCCTTATGTTCCTTATGTTCCTTATGTTCCTTATGTTCCTTATATTCCCTGGGAATTTATTTTCTTATGCTACCACCTATTAAACTCTAAACAACACATTTTATTATAATGTTTGAAAAACAAATATATTATTAAACTGTATTTCAAATTATATTCATAAATAGTATGACTAAATTTATTGAATTGAAATTTATTTTTAAAATATTTCAATATTTATTTGCAAATATTTAAGTTTTGGTACTATTTATTGTAATAAATATAGAATCTAAGATAATCTAAGTAACACTTATAATAATTGGGTGTTTTTATGCAGAAACCACCTATAAATTCGTGACTCTTATCGAAAATTACAAAGAAATTACAAATAGAAATGATTTTAAATATTTAAATGTGATTTTTGCTTAAATTTAATCATTTTTTAAAAATCCGTTATTATTGTAGTCTCTCTGCAACCAAATGGCGTCAATCGGTCTTTAATAATAAACTATCGATTGATTGTCTATAAGAGTGCGCCAGTGTTTCCAATTTAACTATACTTTTAATACTGTATATTAAATAGTAATATATTATATAAGTAATAATTATTATATTATTTATATATTATTTGTAATGAACTTAACTATCAAAATATTCAATTAATTTAAATAATATATTTTTAAATAAAAATAATTTAAACTAACTATTAAAATAGATTTTTTATTTTAAAATTGTTTGAATGCTTTGAACTAAAATCAATCATCAATTTAAGTAACAGATCATTAGGTGTTTTATCAACTATTAAATCAAAGTACAGGTAAATAAATGGTATAAAAGCTTTAAATATTTAGTTAAAATTTTTGAATTATTATAAAAAATATATAATATAATAAAATGGATTAAAATATTTATATTATAAGAAGAATCTTAAAAGTTTACTTCAAAATTACATTTTCCTTAATATTTGTGATCAATTGAAAAACTTTTCAAAAATGACAACAATTTACGGCAACATTAAAAAGTTTTGAGTGTTTATTCACTGATCAGTGATTAGTATTATTACTCTAAAAGACTCATAAAAATGTAGAGAAGATATCGTTACTTATTTTGTCAAAATATTGTTACTTTATTTAAATATTACTATTATATAAATGAAAAAAATTTATATAACAATTATAAACTTTATATATTTTTATTTAAAACTAATTCAAAACTTTTTCTTAAAGATAGACAAAACGGTTATCTTTTGGAATTAAGTTTTCTGACTATTATTTATTCATTACTATTATTATTAATTTCATGACTTTAATTAAAGATAATTGAATTAATAGTTATTTTTAGACAGATTATTAAACGATTGTCATTTTTATTTTTAAGGTTAAATATTTAGTTACATAAATAAATAAATATAATTATGTATTTTCTATGAATTTTTATGCTTTTTGACTTCACTTAAACAATATTGGATGCATTTATAAAATATGTTTATTAATTAAATATATAAATTTAAACTCAATTCAACAGACAATAGACAATATCTACAGTAAGACTGCATTTAGTTAATGAGTGAATAGTTTGTGATTCAGTCCATGAGTGAGACAATTGCAATCAATCGGTGACATTGATGTCAATAGACTTACTGTTAAACTATAGATCGTAAAAGTTTTTGTTTCCAATTAATTACTCAAAGCATTAACTTTCACACAATATCTAAAAAGTGGTATAATTTATGTAACAAAATATACTTATATTCTTAACAAATAGTTTTCAATAAAATAAATACAATTATTTATAATGATTTAAATGATGATAATTTCAAGATATACTATATCAGTAATTAATTAAATTTTAATATATAATATTTTAAATCTATTATAATACTTTTAAAATCTCTATAAAACAATTTTATTTTTAAAAATATTTTATTAATAAGTAATTAAAATAAAATAAAATTTTAAGTAAATTATAAATACAAACTCACATACGTTATGTTAAATTATTATTATTAATAATAAAATATTATAAAACATTAATATTTATTGAAATATTAAATTATAATCAAATATTAACTATTTTATTAGATTTATTAATTATTCTTTGTTATATTGTATTAAATATTTAAAATAAGTTTACTGGCATTTTTAAAAAATAAATTATATAATAATAATAATAATTTAGTATAATCATTTTATATTAAATTATTTGATAAAACGGTATTTACGTATAATCTTAAAAACAAATATTTTAAATCACTAGTAATTGATTTTTATATAAAGTATTATAAATGACAACAACACTCACAGAATAAATAATAATTTTTAAACATAATATAGTTATTAATACTTCGGCAGAACTTTATTTACATTAAAATGTTTGTCATAATAATAATAATAATAATATTTTTTATATTTCATTATTTTGGTAATTAATCAAAATTTTAAGATAATGCTTTATTTTCAAATATAACATGTATGTAAATAACAGAGAAAACATTTATCAATAGATAACTTATGAATCGTTAAATTACTAAATAAATTGTTTTGATATTGAATTTAACTGAATTTTTCAGGTGTATTGTCTCCAGAGGTCATACTCCAGGGGTCCGACCGTTTGCCAAAACGAAGTCTATAATAACAAATTGTATTAAATTTTATAATATAACATTAAAAATCATATTTATTTATAATTGAATATTTATAAATAAGATTTTATGTCACTAATAAAAAGATAATGTAAAGCTGTCAAATTAGATAAATATTATATATAAAATTTCTATATACATAATCACTATATATTATACAGTATATACTGTATATGTATACTAATGGAAAATACGAAAGAGTAGTGTTTAATACTATTATATAATAATATATAAAACATTAGGTAATGGCTGTCATACCTGAGTTGTGGTTGTCGTCCGCCCTTTCTTTCCATTTGATGCACCAATTGATTTGATCCCTGAAGGCCTTCATTACGCAAAAGTAATTCATAGATATCTCTCAAATCTATTAAAACAATAAAAATGGAATAAATTTTTATTTTATATTTAATTAATAATTTTAAAACATTATAACATATATTAAATAACTACTAAAATTTAAAAATTTCTTATATATTTAATACATTAATTAATTTTTATTAATGTTTTATAAACAACATTCATTATTATATTTTTACAAATTTATGTAATAATAATTGCAATATAATTAATTTAATTTTTAATTATAATTTTAAGTAATTTAGTAACATAATTGATAAACAGTAATATACTTTGTTAAAATAAATTTAAATAATTATATTACTATTAAATTGATATCTATTTTTAATTAAAATAATTAGATATAGTATTATTGACAAATTAATTATTTGATGATATGATATTGGGATTTAAAACAATTAAAATAAATAATTAGCTAAAAATCATAAAATGAGACAACAAGTTGAGAAACACTATATATGACTTAAAGTATTATATTTATAATTAAATCCTATTTTAATTAACTTTTTAAAAATTGTTATTTATAATCAGTAAATAGAGTTAATTAAAAACGAGACTAAATTAAAATCAAACAATTTAATATATTTATATATTTATAGGATAATAAAATGTAATATTAATATAGAAAATCTAACAAATTATCAAAATTTAAATATAATTTTAAAAAGTTTTATATATTTTATAAAATAATTGATTGACAAATGTTTTTAATCATAGCTTAATTTTAATATACAGTTTATCCAATATTTCATTATTTGTAATTTAGAATTATTTATCATTTTATTATATAAAGCAATTGATTGATATCAGATAATTGAAATGAGCAAGGTTATTTACAATCTCAACAAATGGACTTTTAATTATACAAAATAAATTGTCATACAGTATATAAACCAGTTGAGAATGCTAGAAAGTAAATTTATATATAATTATTTCAAATTTCATTCGTTTCAAAATTAAAAAAAAATTCTGTGATTTTGACTCTTTTAACGACAATATAGGATAACACTTCTTAAGGCAATCCTTTTCTACATTTTTTGCGAATTTCGAAATTCTGACTTCAGATTCGGTTAGAACTAGAGGTTTAAGAAAATAAATGCCTGCCTTAGAAATGCCGAAAATAGATGCCATAAATGCCATTTTGGACATCTATTTTATTTGCCTACCATTTTAAATTGCTAAAAAGCAACTGTATTTATAAAAATAATGTAATTTAGTGTTTTTAGGGTGTTAATTATATTTACAATTAATATACTTATTTCCAAGATATTACCTTTTAATTAAAAATAACAAAAACAAATATATCCATAAAACAATGTTTTATAAATAAATTAATAATATAAAATCAAAATAATAGGCATCACCACCTGAAAATAGATGCCCAGGGCTTGGCAGAGGTAGGGCAGGCATTTGGTAAAATTGGCATCTATTGTTTATGCCTGCCATTTTTAAAACCCTGGTTAGAACATAGAAAATAAAGTATAGGAATCATCAAAATCATCAAAAATGACATTATCATCACTAAACTAATTATTATAACCTGGATCTGATATTACAGCAATTTAGTATTCTATGCATCTATATGTATAATGTACTGTATAATTTCATATATGTAAATTGATCAAGTATAAAATCTAAAAAACTACTAAACATTAAAATTTTTGTAGAACTATTAATATACTAATCTTTTGGACTATATTTAAATATAGCAAATATATGACATAACAAAAAACATAATTGATATAATAAATATACTATACATCAAACAATGATAATAAAATACGATAATTTTTAATGATTTGTGTAATTATTAATGAAACTAGAATTATGATGAATCAAACAAATATATATTATTTAATATCATTAAAACCTACGCAAAAAAACAAAAAGTAAATGAGAGGACACACAATCATTTGTAACTTTGATCTTAACACATATTTTTTTGTTAGTTACCACTGATTTATAGTATTTATCGACAAAACGTTAAAAAGTAAAAGTCTTTTTATAAATATAAAATATTTTTTAACAAATAATTACATTTTTTGACACTATATGTATAGTATAATCGTCTTTTTATATATATTTAAATATTTGTATTTTAAAAAGATAAAATAAATATGTTTTATATTATATGATTCAGTAGAGCTTTCAAATTATTTCTTTTATATTTAAATATAAATATAAATCTGGACAATAAAAATGAAAATAAATGATCATAAAATTTTTTATATACAAAAAAAGAGTAGCAAATAAAGTAAAAACTATGTTATAGATAAAATGATGTAAAATATAATCTTTTAAAAAACTATCTTTTTGTTTTTGTATGTATATATCATATAATATATATATAAATATAAATTTACAGATTTATTATTGTTATGTTTATTGAAGTCATACGAGACATAAAGTCACTGCAATGACGGCTGTGATTGAGTGGAGGATCACAGCAGAGAGTATTCATATAATATAATATTTGTTGCAAAATCGTGGGACAAAATTTGCTACAAAACGTTATATTAAATAAAATTTTTATAAATAAAAAATTTAAATTAAGAAAATTTTCTGGTATTCAAAAATATTTTTTAGGTAAAATAAACAAATTTTAAAACTCAGTAAACGTTTCTAACTTTTATTAAGTTTATTATTAAACAAAACAGAAATATATTTGATTGCTAATGGATCACAATTTTACATATTATGGTTTAACAAACATTAATAAAAGTTAAATAGAGATCTAAATACATAAGATAATGATTGTATGGATCGTCAAAATTACAACTTTTTATTGACAATAGGTTTACATTTGACTAATAAAACTAATTGTAAAGAAAAATAAATAACAATTTTTGAGTATAGTCTTAAACAGTATATTTTTATTATTACTATTAGTAAAATATATTGCTCACAAAATATTAAGGTATTTTTAATATTTTTATTATTTAATAAAATCATTGTTGTAAATATATTGTAATAAAGATTCTTAATCTTTAAATTAAATTAAGTATAAATATAAAATACATAAATTTGATAAATAAATTCTTTATGTTTAAAATAGGATTATAAAGTTGATGTATGAAATTATGATATGTTTGTTCATTAAATGACAATACTTTATGACAATAATGATAGAATTGATACAAAACCATAGACTATATGTTATAATAGAGTATTTGTCATTTCAACAATTTTATGTCATTTTAATACTGAATTATTGTATAATAGAGTTAATGTTATGTTTGCTCTATTTATGTTACATTTTTTTGTTTGCATTATATTTATAATATTAATAATAATAATGGAAAATATATTATACATATAATAGTGGAAAATATGAGTTTGTGTTATTAATTACTTCTACATTAAATTAAGTAATATTTTTAAGCAAAAAGTAAATTTTATTCTTTATATTTATAAAACAATATCAGAAAAATAATAATAACTTAAATTTATAAAAGATTTAAAAATATATCATTTGTTATTCTTTATTTGATTCATATAATAATTAGATTATAACTAAATGATATTCAACTCAATTAAAAATGAAATGTTTGTCCAAAAGTTAATGAAGTGTTTTTCTTAATGAACATAAAATACATTTCAGTTGAATAACATATTAAATAGTGTAAGACATACATAATCTATACGTCAAGTACTTTGTGGTCAATTGTAATGCACTTAATGTCTAAAATGATGATCTTTTTGTGGTTTAATGGCCTTAATTTAATGCTATTTCCGTTTCATCTTAATTATAGTTTACTTCAATTTTAACGATCACTAATTATTTTGCTTACTTTTAAGTTTATCTGTTAATACAATATATTATATACGGTATATGAAGCTTACTTAAATAATTAGCATATTGACTAACAATGTAGAAAATTTTATTTGATATATATATAGTATATATATATTTAAATTATATATCTAAATTATCAGTAATATATACAGTATTTAAAGCAAAATACATAAAATATTTATTACAATATAATCTTTTATACGGTATTATTTTCATTTCAAAATATTTTATTAAAATATCTTTATACGGTTTATTATTTTTATTAGAAGATCCAATAATGCAGATATTTAATTAATAAGTATTTTAATTTTATCACTTTATATAAATATTGTTTAAATACTCCTATAGAGTATATTCATTAAATTTGTTGCCAACTTTGACATTAAGACTTATAATAATATTGAGTTTTTCTTACTTTTGTCAATAAATGTTAGTCAACATTAACTCTAGTTATAAAAATTACAATTAAACCAAAATTCAAATATTATTTTATAAAAACAGACAATCATTTTTAATACTGTGTATTAATTTTTTAAGGATTCTCAGTAAGCAGTATAATTTTATTTAATAATTTTATTTAATAATTTTAGTATAAATAAATTTTATTTTTATTATTTAAAAAAGCCATATAGTAAAGTATATTAGTTTGCATTTATATATTCTAATTAATAATCAAAATTACTTTATAAATAAATTATTAATAAATAGATAGTAATATAGCACAATTATAAATGTCTTTTATAAATTACTTAATGTTTTATTATATTTAATTTTTTATATAAATATATTTTACTATAATATATTTATATAAATTAACCAAATAAAAGTTATGTTTACATAGCTACTGTACTGTAATTTAATTATTTTTAATTAAAAATAAAAAATAAATTAAATAAGTAAATAAATATTATAAAATACAAAAAATAATTATTAATAAAAAATCTTCTAAATAATGAAAAATTTTAAAATTCTGATTTATTATATTCAAAATTTTTTAACTTACAAATTTTAAGTCACAATGTATTTCAATGTAAAATATTGTTTTCATAAAATATAAAAAACCTTTATAAATATCAATAATATACTGTATAATATAATGTAGTGATTTACCCAATGGTATTTATATTGTGATATCCTATTGCATATATATTTCAAGTATTATCTATTTTGTACATATTTGTTTTGAATGTGTTTTGAATTTGTTTAAAATTTAAAAAACAAAAAGTGCAAGGTTAACATAATTCTTTAGATTATATAATATATAAAATATCTTATTTTAACTTTAAATAAATAAAACAAATAAATTTTACTTAAAATTTTAATTTAAAATTATATGTTCATTTTTATAATAATTATTATTTAAATTTTAGAAATCTAAATAATGTATAAAAAATATAAGAAAAGATTATTAAAAAATAGTATAAAATGATAATTATATTTTAGATTAATAGTTAAAAAAAACTATTAGTATATTTCATACAATAAAAATAAGTATAATTGCTACTAATAAATAATTAATTATTTTTAAAAATTGATCAAAACTAAATTTCAAATAAAATGTTAGTAAACAATAAAACAAAAATAAAATATTAAGTTATATACTGTACTAAAATTGTTTATATAAAGAATTTATTTACTTATATTGTTATAATGAAACTTTTATTTCTTTATCTCAAATATTTTAAGATAAAACAATTATTGTAAAACATTTATTATAAATTATTTTATAATTAAATTTACGTTTATTTTTTATAATAAAGTTATCATTATTTTACAATTTTTAATATATATGTATATAGTATATAATATTTGAAGCAATTCATATTAAATTTAAGATTGACATTATTTTATTTTATTTTTTAAATTAATTATTATAGAAAATAATAATAATGAATTATAACATACAATTAAAAAATATTTATATATAGACTAAAATAATATCTTTTTTAAGTGAATTAATTATAAATTCTTATTTTTTAAAACTAAAAATATGTGCCAATTTATATTTTAGCTAATTTTAGCTAAAAAACAAATGAATTCTACAATAGAGTATCCAAAAAACACAAAAATATATATAATTAGTACAAATGTATATTTATTATATTTCACAAAATTGCTTTTATAAATATTAGTGTTAATAAAATTTGTAAAATGTTATTTCAATTAATACAATTTACTTTTAAGATAAATTTTATAATTAAATTTTAAATAAATAAAAACAATGAAATTAAACTCTAAAAATAAGTTTACATATAATATAATATTTTTAATAACATGAAAATATAATTAAAATTTTAGTGATTTTATTAATTATAGAGTAATAAACCTAAATTTATAAATTGTCTAAAATTTTTTATTTTTTGAGAAACTTACCAAAAACTAAACTATAATTCCATTTATGTTGATATAATTAATTATAAAAATGATATATAGTATAATTATATATAGTGATTGTGATTTTTTGTTACGATAACTATTACTTAATCACTTAATCATTAAGTAGTTTTTGAGTATAATATATAGTGTATTAATAATACCTATATTCATAAAATTCAATTAATATTAGTGCCATTTCTAGCGGCTAAACGACTAGTTATGGCTTAATATACAAAACAGAATCTCTTCTATACTTAAAGTTAAACAAAATTATATTATAGTATATAGTCTTTAGTTTCATTTCATTTAACATAAGATAATAAATTGATTGCTTTGAGATATAGAGAGAGTCAATGAGACATTTGTTTGTCATATAAAATGTTTTGTATGTATAGACTTCACAACACATTAGGAATGCGTTAAAATGAAACAAACTTATTGTATAAATGTAATTAAGGATTTTTCATCTCATCATAAATTGTGTACAAAAATGTTTGACTGATACTGAAAGACATATATGCATCGCTAATACTATATTATTAGTAAAGGTAGTCAAATAAGTATTGTCGTAATTAAAGATAACAGGAAACTGAAAGGATTGGGATGCAAGTGATGTTAAAAAAGCTGCAAATATTTCTATTTTAATATATATATATATTATATGTTATACAAAATACAGTGCAATACATACTGTCGTAATCATATTGTGCTGGCATTGAGTCGGCCCTCTCTGTAAATACCAGTATTAAACAAATGGTTATCGCAATTAAGCCAACGATTGATAGATTATATTTTGCCATTTCTTTTGATAAAATTTTGTTTGTTGTCCAATGAATTTCCTGTCCATCAAAAATATTTTAGTTATTGGCATTACTTTACGTTTGTTTTTATTCAATTAATTCATTAATTTTATATAAAAAAAAATATTTTACTTTTACTTACATTTACTTTGGTAAATATAAATTTTAATATTATAGTATTTTAATGAATACTAAAATTAATTTATATAAAATAATGATATATAATATGTAACTTTATAAATAATATTTATTACATAAAATTTATATTTAAATAAAATTTATTGATATTTTACTTACTAAAATTAATTAAATATGTTTAAAAATAAATGATTTGTTATAAGAAACCATGAAATATTTATAAAAACTTTTATGAATTTTCAATATAGAAATATATTGAAATTACTAAAAATTTAGTTTTTTCAACTTAAATTTAGAAAAAGAATTTTTGTAATTTTTTTATGATTTTAGTTTTAATATGTTAAGTACTTTTATTAAAATTTATTATGAAAAATTATAAAATATTAAAATAATGACAATTTATTTTCATATTGTGAAAACTGATATTGATTTAATACTGTATTTAAATTGTTTGTGAGTTCAATAAATTAATTGGTTTTTATTATTAAAATTATTAATGGTATTCAAACAAGTAATATAACAATAATTCATTTTATCTCTTATATTTTATATTATTAATAAAAAAATTTTAAAAATAAAATGGAAAAATAAAATATGTATTTTTATTATACTATTATTATTATTATTACTAGTTTTGGTTATGTATTATAATATAGATATTTTAATTAACATTTAAAATTATATAAAAATGTTTGATATAATACTTATAAAATAATATACCATGATGTTATTTAAATGACTTTACCTAGATGTAAATTTTATAATTTATTTTATTTTAAACAAATCATTTTTGTTATTATATGTATGTTTAGAATACAATAACGATTGTATTTAGATTTTTGTATATATAATTATATTATAGACTGTTTCTATAGTAAAACAATTCGTATTTTTGTAAATTATAAATTTTTAGTTTACAGATAGTAAAAAAATGTTAAATTATAAATAATGATTTTAAAAATTATTACTATGGCGTTATAGATAAGGCGTCCATATAATAAAATTTTGAACCTCCCCCCCCCATATACATGTAATCAATAGTTATATTATATATAGAAAATGTTTGATATTCTAAATTTTGGATATTTGAGTCCAAAATACTGTAGATCTCAAAGTAATTTAGATAAGTAAAATTTTTATATAACTTTTTATTAAGGTAAAAAATATAAATACTAAATATTTTTATATACCGTATACAGTATATACAGTAGATAATAATCTATTGTGATATAAAAACAATAGAATATTGTTTTCGCTTAAACTTTGAATAGGGTATTACTAGAGTTGGGCAAATAGAAATTTATAATAAATTTAACTGAGAAAATTTCTATAGTAAATATATCAGGAATAAATTTCTATAGAAATTTTACTTTATTATTTACCGGGATGTAATATTACTGTACTATGGGAGCTACTGTATTACTATATTAATAAGACAGGATATACTGTAAATTACACTACTCTACTAAATTCTATGGGATTCTTATATAAATATATAAAATTAAAATGATTATAATATCTAATTATAATTATAGTTTTTGTAAAATTAAAGTTTTTATCAATTCATTATATTCTTAGTCTAATGTGATTATTTTTTACTTTCAATATTATTAAACTACTATTAATAATATTTAATTATTATTTGTGATTATTAGGTATTGTTACAAAATGACAAATATTGAAATAACAAAATTAATATATGAATGCCATACGAGACAATAATTTCTTTTATATATTTTATAGAAATTTAATTGATGTAAATTTGATATTTAAAATATTATAAGAAATTCATATAAAAATCCTGTATCTATTAATAATAATATATAGAAACTTATTAATATTATGAATACAATACCATTATGTATAAATATTTTAAAATATGATTTTTAATTTATTTTATTAATTTGAAATAAAAAACTAAAAATGCAATTATTAAATTATATAATAATTTGAAAAATATTTAATAACTTATATACCATGGCTATATAATAAAACTGTTTAAGGAATTAATATGTAATATTATACATAAAATAGCTTATATACACTATTTAAATATTTTTTATTTAAAAATACAATAGAGTATAACAAAATATTAAATATCTTAATCTTAAATTTTGATACATATCTAAATTATAATAATATCTATAAAAAAATTATTTCTGTAAATTAGTAAAAAAATAAAATTACAATATACAATTCTATATATTTTTCAAATAAATAATATAATTTTAACTATATTGTTAAACTATATGTATATATTTAACTAAAATTTGCATTAACGTGTTTAAGCATAATCCATATTAGTGACACTATATTTTTATCTCAGTTATAATGTTATCAATTAACTATCTATTAAACAAATTTTTTATAGATTGCAATAAAACTGATAATGATTTCAAACACTTATAATATTGTGTTTTTTGAATAAACAGACTCAATAAAAGAAAAAGAAACTGAAAAAGTTATATTATTATTGTTTATAACATTGTGTTAAGTGTTTATCAGTTTTTAAATATTTCAAGCGAGACATTAAACATATTATACATCATAATTGTAATCCTATGTTTAAACCTATATTCTTCAACTGTATATTTGATTTCATAGAAATTATTATTAATTAATAGTAATTAATAAATATTCGCATTAATGACTAATGTAACTGAAATTACATTATTTGATCAAAACCCACCCTAATATAAATGTATTAACAATACAGACAATTATTATTATTGTATATTATATTGTTGAGCAAAATAAATGAGTTGACATACATAAACATCAAGAGAGCTGACAATTAATTTAATGTATAGTAAGATATCATCTAAAGCTAAATATTATTATTATTATTATTATAAATTTATATATCATACTAATATTTAGGATTGCAGTTATCATAATTGTTTATATGTTATATAAAGCAAGTATGTGTTAAGTATATGTTGTTGATAACATAATAGATAATTAATAATATACCCTTAACTCATATTAAAGTATATGATTAATTGATTAATGAATTGTACAAATATTTGACAAAAATTGTTTAATAGCGAACAAACAAGTTATATAAAAAAGCAAATAAAGTATAAATTTATGATACATTGATGTTTGTGTATGTGTTCAGTGAGTTAAGCTTTGACTTTTAATACACATAATTAATAAATATGTGTACTCTATAATGTTTAGATACTTAAGATAAACAATAAGTAAATTATTTTCATCAAAACACCCCTATATTAATGGTTAGCAAAAAATATCAAACAATATCGGCTAATAAATTAACTTTTTATTTCACTGATTCTACAAAAGTGTACTTCAAATGTATGTATAGTTAATACTATCAATTTCTTAGGCTATGACTAAAAGTAACACAAATAGCAAAATATATTTTACTGTAATAATGTTGTGACAAAAGACAAGAGCTCTGTAAACATCAAAATACTAACAAATGTGTCATTTCATGCATTAAATCCGTTTCTCATCCAAGAAAAGCCAATATTTTATTATAACAAATAACAATAATAATCAAAATATTAATAATAATAATAATAAAATTTTATGACAAAAATAAAATTATTTGTATCATTTTTAAAGTAAACTATAAAAATAATAAAATTTGACAGTATTGTGATACATGTTTACTATATAAATGGGAAATTAAATAAATAGAAATTACAAAATATGACATAATTTGATAAAACTAATCTAATAATGAATTTGGATTAAAAAGTATTGTAAAACAAAGAAATTTTAAGTAAAGAAAGGTTCATAAAATAATTTGAAAATAAATTGAAATATTAAATGATATAAAATATAACTTACGGTAAAAAACCAGATATTTGTTGGTAAAAGTTATGTGAAATACAACTGGTATTGTGTTTTGAATATGATTTTTGATGGCTTTTTATGGGCTGAAAGCGATTCTGCAATCGATATAAACAACTGTTGAAAGAGAGCACAATCGGCACACAATGTGCTTCAATAGTACCTAAATGTCTGACAATGTGTTGTAATACCTAAAAAATTTCTAAAATGTAATCAAAGATCGAGAGACCAAACGATAAAAATACAATATTTGCTGTTTTGACAAAAATCAAAGCTTTTTATATAAGTTTATGAAAGAGTTATAAACTATTACACAGACTTAGTGACCAATAATAAAGTTAGACCGAAATGTTTGAGTGCTATGACGTGGATCAGAGTCAGCCACCAATCATACGGTGTGTCTATCAATGCCTACAAACTGTTTGCGGAGGAAAACCTCTATATTGAACCATAGATTCTGAATGTCACACAAACTTTGCAACAAATGTTTAGTTATATTATATGTAAAACCAGTGATTGTATAAAATATCTCTCAAAACTGGTGAACACTTCGTAAGAATTTTATACATCAGACTCGAGACTCCTCCTCATTGGCTTTCGTTCAACAAATCAATCAACAAAAAAAACAATGCATTTCACTATTATACACATATTTACCAAATTTTAAATTATAATACAAACTATTTATAATGAATTATCAAATTATATTAATTCATTAATTTACAAAATAATTTTTTATAAGTTATTTGCTAACCGACGGCAATGAGTAAACAAAATTATTTTAAGTCAATCATATTCTTAATTAAAGACAATACTTATTAAATGTAATTTATATGAAATTTTGAATTCATTTGATCTGATTCTTAAATCATATAAACATTTGTTGTACAAAATATTCGTTAAAATAAAATTTAGTGAAAATTTTTTTTTTTGTAAAATTGTGAAACTGAATATAATTTATGACAATCTTATTCTTTGTTTATTTAAATTTATTAACAATTATTTAAATTTGATACAATAAATAATCGTTTTTAGTGACTTAATTGTCTCTATAAATACTGAAAATTTAATGTCAAATCTAATAATTATGAGAAGCTGAGCTTACCTTTTGCTAATAAGTATAACTCACACTATATTTAATTAATGTCATTAAATTAGTTCAAAAGATAGATTTGCCCAATGCTTTCATTCATAACAATAATATACTCTTTTATAAAACTGTTTTCAAGTGCTTTACTTAATTTACTTAAAAATTCAATTAATTTTTATCATATGTTATGATGTTATGTTATGATATTATTCAAATGTTATATGTTTATAATAATAAAACTATCATGTATTATAAAAATAAACTATAATTACAAATATTTATTTTTATTTATACTTAATAATAGCATAAACTATAATATTTTATTATTAATATTTTTTATAGAAATATTAATATTATCTAAATATAACAATCACATTCAATTTTTTCAAATTAATAATATAGTTTTTCAATGTTGATTTTTATTTATTAACAAGTTAATTATATAATTAATAAATTATAACAAACAATATACTGTAAAACAAGCAGACAATACCAAGTTATAATATTTATAATTGTTTTTCAAATAAATAAGTAAACTAACATAACATTGAGGATTTTAAATTGAATTTATAAAATAAATAACTAAAAAAATGTTAGATATATTGGAGTTATAAATAATGTACATTTAGTCACATAATTATTAGTTAATACTCTATCAGAGTATTATAATTAATATCTTAGAGACTTTTAAAAATGGTTTATAAATATATTTAAATAACATATTATATTAATGGTAAAGAAGCACTCAATAAGATATTATCTAATGCTTATATTTACACCATGTTTTAAATTAACATTGAAAATGATTAATATTTTAGTTTTATATTAAAAAATGTTAGTTTATAATAATAATTGTTTATTTTTAAAGAAAATAAAAATTTTATAAAAGAGTTTTATCTAATGCGAGTATTGTGTTTGACTCTATAGGACAACAAATACAATCATATATATAACAAAATCAAGGCTGAGATGACTGTAAACTTAAAGACAACATTTATTTTGTATGTTTTTAAAGGAAAAGAGAGTTGACTTTATAGATGATATATTTTGTCAATCAATAACAAGACTACAGTATGTTATAATAACATTGATTTAAATAAGTAAAGTATTGATTAATAATTATTTAAACTGTATTAAATAGTTGCTTAAAAAACTAAATAGTTATTAATTTTTAAATATTAGTTAATAATTAAATTAATTTTGATCAGATTGGATGATAAAATAATATTTCATTTTTTTTTTTAAAAGTAGTTGTATAATAATTGACAAAAAATCCAAATAGTTTATGAAATAATTATTTATTTCTATAATATTTGCAAATGACTCACATATTTACAATAATGATGAACAAAAATATACTAATTATTTCTATTGTTAACAAGGATTATTATGAATTTTACAGTTTTATATCATTTTTCTAACTCATATTTTTTATTTTTACATATCTTATGAAATATTTTACAATTAAATGCTTATATTTTTCAAAATCAGTGAATTAGTTATTTATTATTAATATTACCTATCAAATAGTTATAATAAAATTTCCGAGAAAATAGTTTTTTAAGTTGGAAATCAAGGCAATATAAATAAGTATGGAATTGAAAATCAATTATAAATATTATTTTTTACGCTAATATTAAATCTTATGTGTAGACTATAGTAAATATTCTAAATATTGTATTCCTATAAATTTATTTGAATACATTGTATATATAGTATTATTATTTATTTATTTCACACAAACTATATATAAAGTATAGACAATTTTATTTATTATAAATTTCTTATAGTAAATTGAATACATTTACATAATTGATAATAAAATTAACATTATTAACATATAAAGTATCTGTTGTTTTAAATTTAAAATTAAACATTTATAAATTTATTTTTACATATTTATTAAGTTATTTAGTAAATATTATTTTTATTTAAAATATGAATATAATATAGATAATAAATATAGATTTACTATATTGGTATCATAACAATTATTTAATATATTATTTTCTATCTAAATATTTTCACAAAAAGATATATATTTTTCAATTTTCTAAAATAGTTTACGAAAAACAAATTATTACAAACTGACACCTATTGAGTTATGTTTAGTATATAATTTATATAAATTTATATATCACAAACAATTGAAATATTAACTAATTGATAATGCTAAGCCTACTAGCATTGCCAGATAAACTTATAGAAGAAATTTTAAAGTTTAGAAAAGTAGTTAAGATATATCAACCGTAGATACAATATATCGGATATTTTTTGCAAGTTTTTTAAGAGATAAAACTTTATCCAAAAAACATTTTCTCCATTTTTCATCAAATATCAGATGTAAATAAACAATATATGACTCATTTTTAATGTTAATAATAAATTTGTAATAAATTGTAACAACAAATACTGCGTATTGTAATAATATTAAAAATAATTTTTATAAAAATAATTTCATTAATCGATTTTATTAAGAAAATAATTTAGTTTCTATAGCATAATCACTATATCATATAATAAATAATCACTTTATCAGATACGTTAAACATATTGCAAATTATTTAATTAAATTTTTATTAAAGAATTGATAAAATTTGTAGAATTTATTTTATAGTAAATAATATTTTTATTTTTTTCAATTTGTAATTATATTTTATTGGTTAATTTAAAAAAATAAAATATAAATACTCTTCGATGATTTAAATTATAAGTTTGATTTAAATTGTTTTCAATTCAAGTGTAAAGAAAATTTAGTGTAACAACAAAATTAATTAAATTAAGTTTATTATTATTGACATTAAACATATCTCAAAATATTTAACTAAACTTTAATTGTAAAATCAATATAAAACAAAAAACATATTTTAACAATAAAAATGATATATTTAAATATTTTTAAAAATAAATTTGAAGGAATTTTAGGAATGTTATCTGACTCTAACCATTATAATACGCAATCTATATAAAATAAATATGTAATTCAAAAACATATAATTTGCATACACTATAAAATAGCATAATATACAGTATTTGTTAACTTTTAGTTTGTCACATGTATTCATAAATTTCAATAAAACTTTAGACTAACAAAAATTATACGTAATTGTAATTAATTTTAATATTGAAATACTTATACGTTAAACTATATTGTTTTTATAATTTTTAATGCAAAATATTTTATTTAATAATTATAATTATTATATATATATAAAACATTATTTAAATAATAAATAATATTTATAAATAATACTTATTTAAAAAATTAGAATTTAAATATAAAAACTGTATAATTAAAATACAATTATATATAGTTAAGTATAATGTATATTCTATGTATAAAAATATCAATAAAATATAGAATATATTAAAATTCTTCTATACAAAATATACATACCAAAACAAAACTTAATTTTTTAATAGATAAGTTATAAAATAATTAATTTTTGAACTTCAAAATATTTTTAAAAATAATAATTTAATGTATTTTTGTTGATAGCAACTAAATTGACTGTCTGTTTATGAAAATAAATTACCGAAATATCACAATTTTAATAACCAAATAATTTTTTTTAAAATTTAATATAATATATTATAAAAGACAAAAAGTTGTTTTCACATTCTTTAATTATGTTTAAAAAATCAAATTTACTATTTTTATGAAACATTATAAATCATTTACAATTAATACTTTCTAATAAAAAACTTAATTTTTTATAAAAATAAACTTTTAAAAAAATTATATTTTATGACTTACAATAGATATTTTAATAAATATTATTTTTAAAATTCAATATTTATTTTACAAACAAATTATTAAATTAGATAAAAATCATGTTTAATGTATATTCTTTGAATTAAACAATTAATATATATATTAGTTTTCTTTAATATATATATATATATATATATATATTAATTTTTAAAATAAAATCACAAATAAAAAGTAAATAAAAACAAATATGTAAATAATTTTATTAAGTTGAAAAATTATTAAATATTTAAATGCCATTTATTATTCGTAAAAATAATATATTTTATATATACGTATATCTCTTTGTTTTTAAATATTTTTAATACACTTTAAATAATTAATAAACATGTTTATAAAATACCGTATTAGATCATTATTATTTAACAATGTAATTAAATTTTATTT